GAACCCGCGACCCTCAGATTGCGAGTCGAGTGCCCTAACCACCTGGCCATGCCGGGCCCCTCTAGAGTATAGAGAGAAGTTAAGCCTGATAATATTAGGAGATTCTAGGTTCCAAGGCTTTGAGACGTTTTCCCTTCAAGTTGCAGTTAAGTTAATGGATCATGAAAGGCACGGGATAAGATGTAGATCTACAAATAACAAGTATTTAATATCAGTAACAACTTAACCTACAATAAACGATACACTATAATACAAAACAATGAACAATACTTCGAGTTGCAGTTAATGGATCGTGAAAAGAATGAGACAAGACATATATCCACATATAACAAATCTTTAGTAATAATCAAAATTTAATTTAAGATAAACAATACATTACAATACAAAACAATGAACAATGAAATGAGCATAGTTTCTACTAAATACTCACGGAGATTAAAAATGTTTAAAATCGCTATGCTAGAGCTGCAAGTAAAAGTTAAAAAAAAGAACTACACAAATTTGAATGGAGAGCTTTAAAGACTTCTCAATGTTATAAAAAAAGCTAATATCAGCAATAATCTGAGTGTCTTCTGTTGAATAAATTAAAGGAGTAAAACCATACTCAAAATCTGAGCTTTCTAGCCTAAACATGAGCTTTAATTATTAATATACAATTATTTTCTACTATTCTGCATACCCAAGTCCATATTGTCAGCTAGTTACCTCACTTGGTTAGCGGGTGGTGTGCAAACTAAGGCCGTGACTTCACAAAGCTGATTTGTCAACAAGAATAGCTCAGCTCGCTAATTAAGTATTTTATTATTCCTGTAAGAGAACAGGGTTAGTAAGCTATGGTCCTCACCAAAAAAATTGCTTGTCATTTAGGGAAAGTTAAAGTTAGTGACTTACTTAAGCGCCTCACTGCATTAGAAAGGGAAACTACGAAAAACAACATAATTTAAAGAAATCTGCTTTTTAATTGAAATGAATAAAATCCCTATAACCCGAGCTCTTTCGAAAAGTGGACCTTTCTTCTTCAGGGGCAAATTGAAGGTGTGGGAAAACATACAGTATGTCCCCGTATTACAGCTGACACCATAATGACATTAGTACATAATGTTAGTTGAGAATATTTCTATAACCAACAGAAACGAAAGAGTTAATTTCACCCCTTAATTTTATTGTTATTGAACTCTAGGTAATTTTCACAGAATGTTTGGAAAATATTCCAAGTTTAGTTTTTCAGTAAGTTGTACTTAGACTGGCACCATAATTTGTTAATACACAATACTATGGGAGAGTGTTAGTACCTCCGCAGAAGCAAAAGGGTTATTTTATACTGTTGCGTCAGCGAGGTCACGTGACTAGTATCACGCCACCTTTTTCTAGAAATATCCTGTTCCTTCATTAACGCCCTAGCATTTACTAGATATGTGTTAGTCTTGTATATATAAGACGTTTAAAACGTGACGGAACAAGAGGGTAATGAGTAATTGAACTGCAGCCAAGAGAGAATAT